ATGATGGATGGGATGCTTTAGTCGTCGATGTCCCTTTTTTTGTGAAAAACATGATATTATTTTTTTGAATATAGATGAGATATATATAGCTCGAGGAAGGTCATGACATGGTGAAAAAGTCACTAATCTACACCGTTATCGTGTTGAGTTTTTTTCTGCGATGTTAGATATGCAACTTCAAGAGCCTAGCGATCGTTTTACAAAGGTGAACACCAAACTACTTCTTTGTATGGTATGTCTAAATCCAATGGATTCATTCTCTACATTCAATAAGGAGAAGTTATTTTGTCTTGCTCAATTTTATCCTTCAAAATTTTCCCCATTAGAGCTCTTGATACTTGATAATCAACTTGAGACACATACTTGATATGCGTTCCAATGAATTTTTAGAAGTTAAAGGAATTGGTGGGCTTGTAGAGAAGTTAGTTGAGACCAAAAAGAATATAGTATATATGTTGGTATATTTGCTCATCAATCTAGCACTTATCTTACCAGTTGTCACTGCAACCATCGAAAGAGCATTTTCAACAATGAACATAGTAAAGAATCGATTACATAATCGAATGGGAGATCAATGGATAAATGATTGTTTAGTTGTATATATTGAGAAGTATGTTTCAAGTATTATTGAAAATTAAATGATTATGCAACGGTTCCAAAATATAAAAACTCGTCGAAAACAATTATAAAGATTTATTGGATGTTCGAGAGTTAAGAGCTCCTTTTGTACAGGATCTCGAACACTAAAATATACTTTTGATGTAAAGCGCTTTTGTTGCCTTTTTGTACATCACTCATATATATGAGTTGCGCCTCTAAATGGCATTCTTTTGATATAACTATGTTTATAAACAGTTTATCAATAATACATATTTTGATGAAAATAATGTTACAATTATACTTTAAAATTTAAGAATTTAGGTTACCCCCACTAAGGCAAAATCCTAGCTCCGCCCCTGGCTATGGTGCCGTTGGATTGCTGTTCTAAGGTGTTTATGTGGTGATTAATGAAGGAATGACTGTCACCAAACTCGCCACAACAATGGCAGTGTATCCATCCATTCTAAATCCAAACGGGCATCGATGCCAGATTTCTCCTGGTCGACTATGATAGTATTCCAACATCAAACATTCTTGTAAAAATCAATATAATATTAAATTAACCACCTTGCTTCATCTAGAAAGCAAACCATCATCTCTAATCTTTGTCCAACCAAATCAATATCATCCCAACAAACTTGATTTGGCTCTTTAGAGTGAGAATCAATTATCATCCTAGTGCCGCTTTTTATGCATAGAACAAGATTGGAGTTTGTCCAGCAAAGAATAGGAAAAAAATGTTGGTATTTTTAGGCATTATATTTGCTTGATAAATCTTTCCGATTATGGATGATGTTCATATATCACAAATTTTCGAAAATAAGGAGCCACCAAGTCAGCTTGCTAATGTTAGTTGACGGTTATTTTGACAAAAGCTCGGGTGGTCTGAGTGTTGTTCATCCCAAAATATATGTTGCTTCCAGGCACCAAATATGATCCTAATTACCTTGGGGTGGTAGAACTACAAGGCACACCAAATATGGATTTAGAAATTTCAACCACTCCAACCTAAAATGAAACATTTGTGGGGGTATTTTAGTAGCTCAAGTCTTTCCAGAAGAGAAGTAACATATTATTAAGTAAACAGCTTTGGTTTTACTATAGAGCAGAATAAAGGGGAAATATTTTTGGAGAAATTTTGGTGTAACCTTCCATCATAAGGCAGAGTTTGCCCCACGGTCCAATGTGAGAACCAAAACCATTAATTAAGCGACGTCCAATCCGCCCTCTAGTGGCACCTATGAACTTCTAAGTTTTTGCCCATTTCTTGCATTTTTCTCTGATTTCCACATTGCACAGAGGGTTTAGAATCATAAAATGAACAATTTTAAGCCACTTGATGACTGTAATCATCCACCAATTACACCAGTCCAATGGTATTATATTCATTCTAATAGACCTCTACCTTTAAGAATTGAGAACTCTAGAGTTCAACACATGGGATTAATTTTGTAGAATCAATTTTTAATCGTTAGTCTGTACTAAATGGGCATCCTGCAGTAACATAGTTGAGTACCAACCCGGGCTTTGACTAACCATCAAATTGTTGGTTGTTATGGGAATTGACCATCTGTTATTTCAACTCTATGGAGTGTATTTAATCTGTTAATTATTGTATATGCTGCACAAAGTCTACCTACTGATGATTATAAAGCAGTCCAACTGCTTTCGATTCATCAGTTGACCAGAAAACACAAGACAGAGGAATGGCACTTCTCCAAACATGTGGAGTTGGACCCATTTATCAATCCTTCATAGCAATTCTTTCCACGTTTGTAGTTAATGCCATTTATCTAAGAGATAGCAGGTGGCTGCAAGCAAAACAGACAACTAGAAACAACTTTTCACACTGCAATTTGTTTTCTGGAAAATGGGTATATGATAACAAGTCTTACCCTCTATACAAGGAGCGTCAATGCCAGTTCATGTGGAATACTTACGCTTGTGAGAAGTTCGGGAGAGAGGACTTGACCTATCAGAATTGGAGGTGGCAACCTCACCAGTGCGACCTCCCAATGTCTCTTTCTTCTCTTCTTTTCCGTTTCTCTTTTCTCCTTCTCTCTCGCACATATACACTTCGACACGTAAGTAGGGTTGTGTTTCAACCATTTTGTTGAATATTTCTGAAATGTTCTCTTGCTCACAAGGTTCAACATCACAAAAATGTTGGAACAGCTAAGGGGTAGAAGGCTTGTTTTTGTTGGAGATTCACTAAATTGGGGCCAATGGGTTTCAATGGTATGTCTGGTCGAATCATCAATTATTCAATTCCACCAACATTCAAATCCATGCACATCAATGGATCCTCAAGGACTTTCAAGGTCACTGTAAGTACTGATTTTTATAAAATGATCATGACAAATAATTGTATGCACCCATAAATGCAGCCTATCACTGTAATATTGGGGCCATTACCTGAGCATGTTCTAGAAGCTCAAAGTTTCAAATTATAGTTTGGAATTATTGGTACCCTTAAACCATTGAGGATTTTAATATAAGGGTAACACCTTTATAGCCATTATTGTGTTTGTCAACACCCAAAAACATTTCACATTAATTTGCTGATTTGTTTTGATGCATGAGAAAGAAACATATCCACCGCATGCACTGTAATAGATGAGTTATGCTCTAAGATTTAGGTAAGGTTTCCCCATGAAGCCTGCTAGCAAGCTTAGGTTTCCCTAGAACCACCATGGTTATGCGATGGTGTTGAATGTGTGCATCAGTAGCTGCAAGGTTGTTGATATGGATGCTGACATGGCTAGCAGAGGTGGCTGCACATGTGAAACTGAGGCTGCAAGCTCAAGTTTGAATGTCAGGTGTCTTTAAGATCATGTTTTGAGGGCTGCAACTGATATTCAGTGCATTATATACTCTTTGACCAAATTTTTAAGAGATTTGTTTTGATTTTCTGTTATTTACTAGCTGTTAATGCTAGTAGCTAAAGTTTAGGAAGTTTGTTGCTTTTATTTTTGGTTTTTAGTTACAAACTCATGTATTTAAGCAGATTATTCTTTAATAAAAAGATAATCTTCTCCTATTTTCTTTTATTCTTTATATGCTCTCTCTCTTGTTCTTAGTTAAGTTTAACTAAGATAAAATTACTTCAGATCATGGGCGGAGGTATGCATAGTCCAGGGTGGGCAAG